CCGTCTGGATGTGATCCTGGACAATATGCTCTAGGTGACCCTGCCTGAGCAGGGAGGTTGGACTAGATGATCTCCAGAGGTCCCTTCCAACCTAAACGATTCTGTGATTCTGTGAAAGTAGTAACAAGGAAGTGTGTAGGTGTCACCACCTGAATCAACCTCTTATCTGGAGATAAAAGACCAATTTTACATTTGTTACAGGAAGAGGTGAGACTGTACTTGATGTATTTCATCTGAAAATCCTACAAGGCCATTACAAAACTTTAATTCTTAAGTTATCTGCGTGCAAACAGAAATAATAGCCCTCAATATCTTTGATTTTTTTGAAAAACTAGTAGCACGATAGTTACGACGTAGCAACGTTCAAAGGTGTTAGATCAGAAGCGAGTCAGTTATGTCAGGGATTACATGACCATATACACTACTTTAGTCGGTAAGAATTCCTTCCAGTCTTGGAGCACAATGCATACTTACTGTGCTTTTCAGTATACTGGTGGTGGACTGGTCACTGATGTCATCCTGGGACGCGTGGGACAAAAGAGCGTCTTCCTCTACCTGGCTGCAGGTAGCATCTGAAATAGTCACTTCATCTGAAACAGTTGTTTTGTTCTGAAGCTTGCGCCCACTCTCCGTTTTTTCGGTCTCACAGTCACTGATGGAATCAAACTGAGCAGCTCTGAGAGCAGCAGACAATACTTGGACTTGAGCTGCATAAAGCAAAAGGAGACTATTTAGTTTCCTTTCTGCACTTAAAAACATTAAACTTGCAAATACCTAAGGTGAAAGGATAAAAACAAGCCCCATCTAGCCTGCACAGAAAAACAGTAAATTAGGAAGCATTTGCTGTTAGAAAGGAAAGCCCTGGTACTCTTCCATAAAACGGTCACATAAATTAGGAGCAATGATCTGCAAGTATTAACATTTTTAGCAGAAGCATACTACTGACACCACTGACAGTTATTTCCGATAATCCCCTGTAATGAAGTATCACAGGATACTGGCTCACATCCCATTCTTAACACTTATCAAATGTTTTAATACAAACTCTTCTGTGATATTCTTGAATTGGTTCAGCTGCCTGGAAAAGGCCTCAAAGGGTATTTAAAACATTTCTGAAGAAACTCTACCCCGAGGAAGGGATTAGCCAAACCTCCTCCAAACTGTTTTACTGAAGCGGATAAAAAAAGAAAAGGTCAAGTTTACTACTATGTCACCAATAAAGTCAGGACAAACTGTATTTGTACGCTACGCAACATTTTGATGTGCTGCTAGGAACGAAAAGTTACTAGGAGTTTGGAACGCTCATGTGCATGCCTACAGCAACTACGGTCTCGAAATGAAATACCAGAGCATACTTTTAAAGGTGAAAAATACTAGAATGTATTGGAAATAAGAGGAAAGGACAACTTTGGAAAGGCAGAAGAACGGATTATAGGCCTATTTATAAGATGGCTTTGGTAGCTAGAGCAGGAGGGAAACAAGAATTAATACCACATCTCTCTCCATTCTTAGTAAAGAGGCAAGATTGTTTGCCTCAAGTCAACAAAAAAATTGGAATCTTCAGTGTTTTCTCCCGTACATCTCCAAATCACTCATTTTCTAGCTGTACAGCTGTCAAGCCAACATCTCCATTTGCCCACTTCATGTTATTATGCTTCTTCCTTTACTTGACACTTGCCTTTACTCTCTCCTTTTTCTTTCTGAAACTCAGTTACACTGTTTTTTTCCTTTATTCACTGCAGTTCCTACTTATTCTCTCACTCCTTTCTTAAAATCTAAGTTTTTAACCTCTTCCTCATTTAAGTCTCTGTCTTTCATTCTAATCCTTTGTCTCTCGTTTACAAAGAATTTCTCTTTTTTTCCTGGTACCTTACCAAAATGGTGATGGGTAGCCAACTACATATGCCACACTGCCAGTAAGCTTTCTGCTCATCGCGAAATAAAAAACAGAGTTAACTACGGATGACAAACCTGTCAGGAGGGATTTAGCCTAGGAAATACATATGCAATCCACAACCAGACTATCGCATCAGTGGGTTCATCAACAGGCTTTTATGAGGAGGCTAAAGAAAGGTGACTTGGAATCATGGTTGTTCACACTCAACCAAATATTAGATGAGTTCAGCTAATTAACAGCTAATATTGTCTCTAAAACCCACAGTATTTAAAACTACTGTACTTAAAATCGAAGCTGATTCCAGCAGCTTCCAGAAAGCTGCCAAACAACCAATTTCCCTTTTGTAGTTGGATCCAATCCTATTATGCCAGCAGAAGCTAGGAACACTTCTCCACCTGTTCTAGGGATAGTTTAGGTCTTGGGAAGAAGGCATAACTTTCTATAGCTGAACCTGAAGCAAAATAATTTATTACCAAGGAGGTCTCATCACCTTATTAATAGCAGGACAATTAAAACAGTCAAGGGTTTTGTAAAGGTTGTAAGAAAACCTGCTTGGAGGAAACATCACATTACTGTTAAGAGTCTCACCTTGAACATCTGGATCATCTATGTGTTCCTGCAAGCTTTCTAGAACTTTTTTTATTTCATTACTGGCAACACAGTTATTACACTGCACAGGGCAGTCTTTATGCTTCTCAGACTTGAACTGAAGCAACTCCAGATCCTGGCTTATATCAGGCAGAGGAGGGCGCCAGTACAAGAAAGTATTAAATACATCCTCAGCAGACTGTAGCCTCGAGTTCGTTCCTGAAAAATTGCTGTCCTTCATGACCTCTATGACACCAGCAGCAACATCACTGCCCTGAGATAATCTAGTCAGGTCTTCTCCAGGATTGGTACAACAGCCTGAACTTCCTTCCCATGTGTCTTTATTTAGATTCTTAACTGAGAGCACTGTATTTTCAGCTGAAGTCTCCTCAGTCGATGACTCTGGTTTGATTTCCATTGGTTGTTCTGAACTGATAACAAACACATAGTTATCCAAATACAGTGTAAACAACTTAGATCAGTACTTTTCAGTTAAACACTTCACAAGATAGCAACAATCACAGAAGCTTATTTGCTCTGCAGAAAGACAGAGCTGGGTCAACACTACGTTTTACTTCACCGCTTTTCCCTTTGCCTTCCTGCGAGGGCATCAAAAAGTCAATTATATTTAAATAATGTTGCTACACTCCAGCAGACACGTGTGCAACCTCACTCTTCATACCGTTTCTGGAACCATACTTCTAAGATTTTCAGTGCTAAACAGCAACTAAAATAATTATCCTCTTTCTTTTCCCTTCTCCAACTTCCTGTCTTTCCCACGACTTACCTGGAAGATGCTACATTTGTAGTGGAGGACTTCAAATTTATATTGTTGCTTGCTTGACAGGAATTGGAAGTCACATCTTGTGGTGATGGTCGGATACTCAGTGTACCATCTTCTCGAATGTAAAGACCAGCACTTGAAGGGTTTGCAAAGGTAGAAATGAATGGGCCAAGGGACTGAAAAGCAGCCTGACGAACCTGAAATAGTATAAAGACATAGCATTCAAGATTCCTGCAGCTACCACAGAGTTAAAATTGAAAAATAAAATTCGGTTCAAAATTATTTCCAACTAGAACAGCTTCACTGAATACCAAATAAGTGACACCTAAGCAAGGATGTCAGGCTATTAAGCGTACACGTACAAATACAGTAAAGAAATTTAAAGGAGTCAAAAGATTTGAAGGATATCACTTCATACTTCAAACAATATCTTTAACACATGCAACTTACTCTCAGAGGAGTTTTTAAGATGTAAAATTTTAGAAACATCATGCTCACATAGGAATTTAACAACTAGCAATGAAATTTTACATTTAAGTAACAAGAGAGGGGGAAAATAAGGCAATTGATCTTATTAGAGCCTTGACTTGCATCTTCCCAGACAAATCGTACACAAGTAGCAAGCATCAGTTACGGAGGGAGTTACTTACCCATCTACAAGTGTCACTAATAAGACTGATAAAGAGTGGCGATAGTTTGCTTCTGCGAACTTCTGGGGATGTCGTATAAGACACTGCCATAAAGCACTCAGCACAAGCTTTTCTCATTCCCCAAACGCTATCCGAACAAAGTTCAAAGAACTTTGGAATCTGGCAAAAATAAACAAAGCCAAGACTAATTAAAGAGATACTGCAGCAACTTTATATTGAGGTATTTGTTTGGAAACTGAGGACAACGAGAGCTCAAGATGGGGAAAAAAAATGGGTGAAAAATGGGAGAAACAGGGACAGATAAATACATATTAATTGAAGAAATCTGAAGAAAAGAAATTTCTGTCTCCTACTCATTTCATTAGAATTTTATGTATAGTTATATATACTTGGACAGAATAGGAAGAATTATTAATGGTCTGAGAGTCTAACTTGACTGATCATCTAGTTCAGAGAAAGGAAGAGAGTCATTAATTTTAGAATTCACATATGGGTTATCAACTACACTGGGGGGAGGTGGAAGGAAGCATTTGGTGGAAAAAAAGGTCTACTTCTGTTCAGTTGCTGTCTTGTATACTTTCAGTTGCTGTCTTGTATATTTGCAACCAAAGCCTTTGCCAAATCCATTTCAAAAAAATGTGTGCACAATGATGAATTTCCAGAGAGGACAATAACAGAACCCTCATAATTAAACCTTTTGAGATGACAAATACAACTCTCCTAAGTGGGTTTTGATTTTTACATACCAGAAGTCTCTCTGTGGCTTCTTGCCCAACTGCATTACAAATGTCACCAAAATTAGCTGCACAAATCTAGCAAAAAGAAAAAAAAAAGTCACGAATAAGATCCCGGCCCTTTCAAGTGCATTAGTGAGTTTTGTTGTTGTTGTTTTTAAATCAACTTCATCATTCATTATTTACCCCATGTAACAATTGCCCATGTTTGACTATTCAAGTTTCACTCATGTAACTATATCCTGTAACGTTAACTCCTCATCCTGAGGAAAGGTTCATTAGAGCAAGCTTCCACAAGCCATATGCCTTTGAAATCAACAGTAGGATAGGCTTCTGCACTGTGAATAGTCTCATCTACTACAGTAATCATTAAAGGGAATAGCAAACACACTTAAATATTTAAATGACTTTGAGCAGCAGCTGTCAAAAACGAAGCAGAATAAAATACGATACGAGGGTTGGGACTTAGGTGTACTGACAGAACTATCTTTGCTATGGCTAAGGGTGCCTTTGCTAAGGCAAAGTTTAATCAAGGTTTCAAGTTAGTGCCCTTTACAGTATGTTACAAATGCTATAATTAAGGCAGAAGGGACGTTCCTTCATGTTGGAAAGGGATACTGCCAAAATCTGAAACCAATTAAGACAGGACTGTATTAATATATGATTTGGCTAATATAATAAGTATATATAATTAATAGGTAAGAAGGGTATATTGCAGATCAAATTCCAATAACCTTGCCTTACAGTAAGGACCAAGCTGAAGCTCTGCTTAACTCTTAAGGCTACTGAACTATTCTAAGACTTGTTGTGCTAGCAATTGCATTCTCAATCAGGATTTGAAGCACATCTCATTCTTCTGAGATTTCTCCTTTCAGTAAGGTGAGGTTTAAAATAAAAATAAATAATAATAAAAACGAATGTCTGAACTATCCAGTATTTTTGAATTTCTGATTTTGAAACAAGAAGGTGAAGAATTGGCAACTGTTTCATTGTAGGATGTAAACAAACACAGCTTAAAGAAAAGGTTATGCAAAACCATTTAATGGTGCAAGATCAAGTTAACTGCTACAATGCCATTCACCAGTGACTACTATTTATTTTTTAACTGAACTAAAGAAACTATAACCATGCCAATGAGTTAAATAAAATGATTAAACTATTCAGATAAACGTGTGAACCGCAACATTCAAACTAACTCCACGTATTTCAGGGTTGAAAACACCAAGCCAACCTTTCGAACTTGAAACAGTTTCCCGTCACTGCAAAGCTCACAGAAACGAGGAAGCAGCATGTGCTCAACTGTGGTTCTGCTCAGCATAGAAGCCATTTTACAGATTATCTGAAATCAAGAAGGAGATGTGTTAAAAGAAAAGAAGAAATTATTCCTGCAATAAACAAGTTATAAGCATAGCCTGATATTCCTAAGTATTACTTCAGAGAGCAAGAAAGCATCTACCATCTCTCAAAAATATATGAATAATGTAAAAGCACTTATAATTTCACACACTTGTTAATGTGAAGCACAACTGTAGTTTTTGTATGGTCGTATTTTATTTATCATTCTGTGCCACTGTATCTGAGCATACCATTTCTGCATATTACTGAACTGGATAAACAAGACAATAAATCCACTTTTATTAAAAGATGCGTTTTCAAGTTGTTTTGCAGCGAGACACACTCTGATATTTTTGTACAAAGACAAGAATTCCATTGCACTAGCCAGCATACAAAACTACAATCTTTAAGTATATGATAACTATCCTAGGCACGTAAGTAAACACTTGGACTTTCAGAGGACTGACCAGATGCTTAAAAACAAGAATATTCCCAGCTCTTTATAGGATCATAGTCTAAACAGACCACATAATACAGTAAGAGTTTGCCAAACAACAGGAGAGAAAAGGGAAGGCAAGACAAACTAGTTACATATGTTAGCTAATGCACGCTTTAGAGGCTTCAGATTCAAAAGCTTTACTTAATTACATTGAGATGTTAATCCTAAAGTTAGTAATATACTCATTACTTTAGCTCCTTATTGTGAGAAACTGTCAACTTCAACTACCACCACAAATCATGTTTCTGTTGTGAAAAATCAGGTGCTTCAGATTATATGTTTCCTTTCAACTCCCGCTTTATGGAATAACGCACTGTAATCCTAAATTTGCAATGGTAAAGAGGATGGGGCTCCCATGCACCTTTTTGTTCAGCTTCTGCCTGCAGCACCAGGAGTTACATGCTTACACAACTGTTGTCAAATTAAGAGCGCTCATCTTTATTTTTATTTTTCCAAAATAAATAATTGAAGCTTTCTACCTCCATAAAAATAAGCTTTGTTCCTAGAAAAATTTGCCTTCATAATAGAACATTAAATGAGAACTAAGATACTGTTCAATCGCGTTCTGCAAATTGTCAAATTTCTAAAAGACATCTGGTGCTCAGATGTCACCCTGGAAAACTACCTAGCAATACTCAAATCCCAAACAGGGAAGAGGAAAATCTAACTGCTAAAACTGTTTTACAGGTCAAGTAGATACTCATGCTGAAATGTAATTACGCATCAGCACTTTTTGTGAAGTCAGTTGATTTCTTGAAAGCGAACAGGGAGTGTTTTTCTAAAATACTTCAGAATTAAGAGCGTGGTCATCATTCGCACGTTTTTGCAACGTTAATGTGAAAACTGGAAGAACAAACGCGAAGAAGCTACTGGGTAACATAATCCTAAACAAGAATTAAAATAAGGCTGCCAACATGGCCTCTTTAAACTTGGTATTTTTAAAAATATAGAATAAAAATCAAAGACTTGCATCAAACTACAAATTCAAATACGTTAATGAACAAACAAAAATAAGCAATAAAACCTTTCATTCAATGTCAACACTATTCTTGGACCTCATCTTAATTACTGTTGTAAACCAGAAGCAACAGCAGTTGTTGTTAATACTCACCGCAAGTACTCAATACATCGACTACAGAAAAAAGCTCCTCATAGAACCTTCCAGTTTTAAGCAGATAGTAACATTTTTGTTCCCAATTAGCGTACATAATTCAAGAAGCACAAAAGATTCATCAAGAACTTCACTAATGCAGCCCCCATGATTTCTCCACTGCACAACAGGTATAGCAGCTAAAAAAATTTTCCTGAAGTACCTCTACATTTGGTCAAGAGATATTAATATAACAGTAGTTAGGACAACCTTCCTTCCTTCTTGAGTTCAATTAAGATACAAATTCTAGTCTTATTTGTAAATTCTCGATGTGATGTTTCAAGTCCTGACCAAGTTCCTTGGAAAAAAATCACATTGTTTCAATAGTACTAATCATTACAAATTACTAAGAATCTTACAGATTCAAGCCTTAACAGCTTAAGACGTGTAAGCTACAGTTCCAAGCTTCAGTTGTATCACGCTAGTTTCTGAATTCTCAACAAAGCAACTAATAAATAGAGAAGGAATACAACAACAAACTGAGACAGTAATGGTACAGAAAGTTCTAAGTTCAACGATAAATGTAAAACTCCCAGGACTAAGGACTAAGATTTTTACTTTCTATTTCTTATATTTAGTAAAATATCACACAAAGTCATTATAAACATACTCTAAAGGATCTTAATTATAGCACTGCTAAAAAACGGAGACACTAAATAAGTCAAAGAATGACAATCCTAGCCAGTGGTATGACAGATCAGCAAGAGATGGCACAAGAATTAAAAGTCTGATAGAAAATTCAATTTTCCAGACTCTTGCACTGACCAATTTATAAATTAAGCAAATTAAGCCAACACATCCTAAGAAGCAATAAAATTTAAAGATATAAGCTTTCTTCTAGCTTCACTTACATTCACAGCTTCCACCTTGTACTCATCATCACTGTCAGGAGCAGAGAGGTCCAACAGAATTGGACACACCTTATTTTCAATGTCATTCTGAGCAACGAGATCTTGTTCTAGCAGGATGAGCAGCGCTTCTTGACCTGCCTTTCTAACCTATTAATTACAATTAAAAATAAAAAAAAGTCCATCACTAAAAACAAAATTAACCGATGAGGTGAGAACCACAAAGTATATGTTTTCATCAAACACACCGGTTAAAAAAAAATAAATAAAGAATTCAATATAAGGAATTACTAATGAAGACTACATTTTCTTATCATTGCTAGATGCCCCTTAATCAAATTCTGAGGAGCAAACAGAAGCTGAAGTAAGGCGAGGACTTAAGGCACAGTTCCTACAATAGACTGTACCACTATGCTGCTGGGTAGACCTTTTGAGTTTCCTATTCTCTCCAAAGGAAATGAGGAAAAAAAATTATTCATTATTCATTAATTATTTGCTCCCTAGTGAAATGCGCTGAAATCAGTAAACGGAAAGCACTAAAGAAGAGCTAGGTATCAATTAACAATGAATTTCCTATTTCTTTCTTTCTCATGCCTCAAGGTCATTGAGCCACTGTGAATTTTCCAAACATTCAACCCATGTAGTCTGGTGTTTCCTACCTGATTGTTAACATCTGTGAGGTATCTCACTACTATGGGCATAAGATATTCAAAAAATGCTGTTGGGAATTTTGGTCGACTTTCTTGCAGAAAAATGGCAATGGGAGGAATTTGTTCCATCAGCTCTGTACGTACAGTTGGTTCTAACAATAAAAAGAAAGTCAGAACTGCATCAGTAATTTCAAAGTTAAATCATGTGCTCTTAAAGAAACAAACAAAATAAAACCAAAAAACCCAGCATTTTCTCTCACTTAAAATCCTTAACATCAGTGAAAACAGAAATATTCAAAATGTAAGGAAGTATCAGCACTAAGATTGTCTGTTCTTAAAAGAAAGCTGAATAAAATAGAATAGCCTCACATACATACAACATCACAGTTCAGAAATTTGGGATTAGTTTTCTAATAAATCAGATTAAATGAGGGCAGCCAGCTAGAAAATTCAAGTACCATGAAGGTATACATATTAAGTTACAAAGTGCACAACTGTTCTGAAAAACTGTGTGCAAACACAGTTAACCAACTTGTACCAAGTATACCAGGCACATCTTATGTACGTTCATATATAACCCATTTCCTTGAGTATATTACTTTGGCCCTTGATTCTTCCTTATACTAAGTAAAGACATACTTGCATATATACATGTGAAAGTCAAAAGTAAGTTGATAAAAAGTTTTCATGTTCCCACTAATACATATTGCTATTAGATGACTTCCCTTTACCTTAAAAAATAACCAAATATTCTATCATTCAAATACAACTGAGAAAGTAATGAATGTTTTCTATCCTCAATAAATTAACATAAATATTCACAGTATCCTTAAGATGTATGAAAGTACTCAAATATGTTTTTTATATTTCACTTTGGTATCCCAATTACCCAGTAAGAAGTCAAAGACGACTCAGAACAGTTTATTTCCTGTCCTAACGTGAAAGGTTTCAACAGTCAGAAGTCAAAGACGACTCAGAACTCAGAATAGTTCATTTCCTGTCCTAACGTGAAAGGTTTCAAAAGGCAAAGTTTTTGGCCATATAAAACAAAAACAGAAGCCAGTCATCTTTAAGATGCTAGTTGTTGTCTGCCGTTATACTTAAACCCCCTTTCCTTCCCCACCAAAAAAAAAAAACAAAGAAATTTAAATATAGAGTTACATTAAAAAAAAAAAAGTTAATTGGCTCAGAATATAGGCATGGTGCAGTGTATATGTTGCAAGTGAAAGAATTAGAAATAACACATTCTTTTACCCCAATTACATCTGGTATTTATTCAAGGCTTACAGAAATAAAAATTTAACATCCATGTGCCTTCCTTTAAGTTATGAATTACTTCCACAGTGTTAAAGGCCAGATGTTCCCATTCAATTCAGCAGAGATCACCTGCATTAATCAGCAATTTCTGTGCTTGGATACAAGTTAAGGGAGAGAATTTTCAAAGGAAATCAAGCTAAATGAATTCCCACATTCAAGTGGTTTTTGTAGTCTGGAGAAACCAGCTGCCATATGATGGAAGAGTTAATTTCAGACTTGAACTTCATGTGGGAGTTTTTCAAGAAAGACATCTAAGAACTTAAATACTCATAAATGTTCCTTGCCTCCTCAAAATCTAAAATCATTGTTTTCTATATTGTAGCTTACATGTAAAATGAGTTACAAAAATTAAGAAAATTTCAAACCTGCATCTTCAGAGAGCCTGACCACTATCTCCATTACAGTCAGGAAATCTTCCTCATTATTACTGAAATCTCGAAAGACATCCAAAAGACCTCTAGCAATAATTTGCCTGTGGAGGAATAATATATTAAATGCCTGCTAACAACATATAGATGGGAGGAGACTAGAAATTAATCAAAGGTAAACAGGCACCTTAAGGGAAGATCAATGTCTTCTCTGAACATTCAGACATACTAGTTACACAGTTACTAGTTACACACGCCAACAAAACGAAGGTGGCAGAGGTCAGAGTTCTTATTCAGATGACCAAGAACAGAAACACGTCTTTTTGGAAATTTTGTATAAACGTTATTGAAACAGAAATATCATCAGGCATACGTTTACAAGAGTAATACAAGAAATAGTAATATCATAAGATTCACAGTCTTGTTAGACTCAGATTACCATCAAGCATAATTATTATACCCGCACCTGTTAAATATGTTATCACTGAAGGCATACTTTTCCAGACGAGCCAACGGAGTCAAATTATCCTGCCCAGGAATGTCCAAGAACGCTGTTATCCTCATGCTATCACAGTCTGGTCCATAATCTTCAAACCCAACTTGAAAAACAAGAGTAACAAAAAACAAAGAAACAAGAGTCAGCAGGAGAAGTTACAGTATAAAATATACTACTCACAGTAACACCACTCTTTTTAGATATACTCTGCAAAGCAAGTCTATCTGTGCATCACCAGGAACTGCATATAGAAATCTTAATTTGCACCTAGTGAACTCAAGAACAAGACTCGCATATGCATCTGTAAATTCAATCCTTGAAACATAATCCAATTCAAATGTCATAATATCCTTGACTTCTAACACATTTTATTTTGCAATTTGAGTGGACTAATTACATATACTACAAGTTAAATGGGCTTAGCTGACAAAATTTCATGCTATCAGCTGACAGGCAAATCCAGAAGGAAAAACAGTCCCTATTAAAAGAAATGGAAACGTTAACAGTGACAGAAAATCCAAACCTATGTTGCTTTAAAGCAGTAAAACCTTGGGTCTGTTTCAAAGTTATCAAGGCACATTTCCCTTGGGTCCCATGCATCTAAATCAGATTTGCAGCTTTGAGGAAAAACCTCAACTTCACCTTACTTGTGAACATATTTCAAAGCTTTCTACTGCAGACCTATCAAAAACAGGCTTTCCCATGCAAATCTGTCATCTTTAAAAGATCAGGTTTCAAAGGAGGTTTAACAAAATTTTACCATACCAACTGTTGAAGTTTGCCCACCCGGGGTTATAAGCATCTAACCCAGTAACACGCACTCGATTACAGGTTACGGACAGAAATGTTTAGAAGACTGACAGCGAAGAGGAAAGGGAATAGGATAACTCTGCCAAATTGTTTTTCTGACTTGGCAGGACATGATATTAGGTACTTAAATCAGTAAAGGAAGAATATAACTTAAGAACTGAAAGTAAAATGACACGCCAAATATACTGTATTTTAAACTAAGACTATGAGAACATATTGTAGGCACCCCAGGTTATGCCCCTTTAGACAGAGACCTCCTGTCTTCAGGAAGGAAAAGTTGCATAGTACTTCCATTAAAAAAGTGCCAAGCTTTGGCCAAATACCTAAAAGCAAACTAGAATTCATTTCATTCACAGCACCAGTTTCCCCTGTTTATAAAGTGGGAAGAATGGGAATAACCTCTCCCACTGACACGCTTTTCATATCCATTTGTTACTATTCAGAGTGCTATATTAAGTATTCTGGTTTAATAAAAATATTATAGCCCTTCCCAATAGTGATTGCCATCCCAATCACTAAAAAGCCGGGGGGGTTGTTTGTTGCAAGTCTTCCATCCTTATTATTCCAAAACGCAATATGAAGTTGCCAGTAGGTTAAGTGACTTGCATATGTAATTCCAAGGTCTCTGATATAACAATCTTTTCAGGATTTAAATGGTTGTGCCTTAATCAGGATAATTAAGCTTCAAGTCTACCCTCACACTTCTTCTATCATTGATTTTATACTATCAAAACTCTTCCCTAAAGAACCCCTTAGCTGAGACCTGGCATAATGAACTTTGGCTCTGAACCACATTAATACCTGTTATAAATAACTTTTTATATGAAAAAAAGCTCTAGTACCAATGACAGTCTTAGTGAGAGACTGTAGACTGTATTTGTATACTGGATTGATTCAGTGCTCTACCTCCTGTAGAAATCAATTAACATTAAGCTATGCTGGTACCAACTCTCAGCTTTTTTCCTACAGAAGAAAAAACTGATTTCACATATATAACTTTGCTTTCCAAATATGTAACACCCACGTTTTGCTTTCTGTCTTCCTTAAATGGGTCACATCTTTGGAGGATCACCTTGTTGAATTTTCAAACTCACAAGAATTATCCGTTATTTTTACCGGGAAATATTTATTAGAATAGGCACACATATCCTTCCACTGTCCTCAATATAAAAGAAAGTGAAAGCTATTGAGGCAAATTATACACATGTGGAGATGAAGTTCAACGAAACATGGTTCCAGCATCAGACAGAAATTCAGGCCAAAACATTCTCAACAGAAATGCAGCTAATCTCAGCAAGAAACAGCTAATCTCAGAAAGAAATTATCTGAACATAGTTGAGGCAAAGTGCTGTACATGGGTCTTCGGGGTAGGGGAACAGCAAACTGGTATCCCATGAAAGCTAAGCGTTTCCCAGGAACCTACTTGAAATAACAGACTAGAGCAATTCTGCAATTCTTTCAGACAACTAGCTCAACAGGATTCAGTTGGAAGAAAGCTTTGGAATGAGATCAAGCGTTCATATTTTCAAACATATACACAGATATCAGAAACAACTCACAGCCACATCATCAGAAATGTGTTAGGTATTCATTCTTTTAAAGAGACTATGTATTTGTTCTACTGACGTTCTTATTTCCATTCAACTGACCATTACTCTTTCTAGTGGTTGTTCTTTATGTGTTTTTAAAGCATTGACAGGCTCAAAACCTGTATCCATGCAAGTACATACACTTTACATTGCACAGACCTAGCAGGGATTGACATGTTCACACGTTTCAGGGCTAGCTTTCCCACCAAGCATAATATCTGAAGAGGTTGCATCCAACATTTATCTGCTTCGAAAGAGAACTACTGTATCATGAAAGCTCACAGGAAATTATTCAATGTATGTCAGACTGTATTCCCTTCTGAAATTGTAACAATCTCTTTCCATCTCCAAAAATAAACTGTGGCTATGCCTATGCAATTACATTAATACTCATTTTAAAATCCACACACTGTTACTAGCTAATTCTTGAGGCTAGCCACCTGTTGTAAAAAGGAAGATTTATTATGGCTTAAAAATCAAGATGCCTGCCATTAATTTTATCTGGTGCCCATTTGCTCCTGAATTAAAAAACAGCTTAAAAATGAAAGCACTTATCAGTTCACTTCACTATTGGTCCCCCTTCAAATATTTCAGCAGAATTCCTACCAATTTAAGTGACATAGAAATAAATCTCAATTCTAAGTTTGACTACAATACTACAGCTGGACCGTCTCAGTACACATAAATTAGGAATAGTCGTGGCAGAATCCATTTTGTCTTCTCTCAAGAATTTTTAAAGTTTTTTTTGCTTCTCATAAAAAAGGTACTTACACGATTCAGAACACACTGCTGTACTAACAAATAAATCACCAAAAAAAAAAAAGAAAAGAACTAGTACTTCTTAATGTATCCAATATTCTTCCAATTCTTCCACAGGTGAACCAAGCATTCAGTATTTTTCCTTCTAACGATATCAAATACACCCGTTTGAAATCTATCTGTCTATATACCAGAATACCAGAGACATCCACAGCTGAATTTGAATTTAATACGCCTTAGTTTGACCTAGACTCAAAAGCTGCTTAGAGCCTACAAGGAACACCTGTGGTGTCACAGGATTTAACCAACCATGCAATTCAACATCGCTAGCAAGTATCACTTCATTACGCTCTAATTCTCCAAACCAAAATCTTACACATTAGTTCACAATGCAAAATTTCATGAGCTCAAGGACATTTTCTCTCACACTGTTTTTAGGATGAAAAACATGTTTTTAAATATTTTCCTTACTCAGGAAAGGGGATTTGTATTGCCTTATAAAAATAAGGTTTCTATCTGTACTCCAAGAATTTATGTAGATTTTATTATTACTTCCCCTAATTCAAAGTAATCCTCCAGACTTTGTTCAGTGGAACTGAGGACAACACAGTACGTTTTCCTCAGAGAGGACAATGCTATTTCACCAATTTATTTAGTTCAGAAATTAGAAATGCAGTTCCAGTGATTAATTTCACTGAAAGTTTCTTAAAATGCACCATTAACTCTTTCTTAGAGTCATTTGATTAGTACAATATCTCTACCTAGATGGGGCTTCTGAACTCTACTGTAACAAAAATGACAGCTTTCAAGGCCATAATTTTTAGTGCACTGTCAAATTAATGAAGATAATGAAGGCTTCTGATTTTTAAATCATAAATGAGATGCTAATAGTGCTTTACAACAGATGCTTCCCTTTGTGCATGTGCTCACCCTGAAACTGATTCACTCATACACAAATTTTAAGTGACTCACATAAAATATATGTTTATTAATTCTTGCTTCAAATTCAAACACGATAAGATTCGCTTTGTCTGAAGATTAACTTCATATCTCAAATCAGAGTTTTGCCTACAAGGATAAAAAATTTTTTATCAACTTACCGAACAAATTCTATACTGATGGTCTCAACAGAAGAGCGGAAGACTAAGCACCCAATAGCGAATGGCCAAAGGCTGAACACTGAATGGAGAACAAACTGCCCTCTTAACTTCTTATGATGATTACCCCCAATTCAAGGCCAAGACACAGAGCATAGGGCTACGGGAAGTTTGCATTTATTGCTGCTGCTTGTACTTAACTCACTCAAACAGAACTCAAATGACGGACTGGTATCTTTTGTTTCTTTATTAGAGGGAGTGGAAAATGGGAAAGGCAGAAGGGAGCAATTCAGAAAAACCCAATCAGTTCAAACAGCTAAGTATTCATTAGCACTATGAAGGCTCTTAAAAAAAGGGGGGGGGCACAGAAGGAAACAAATATTTTCAACACTTAAGTAAGGTACTGCAGCAGCAACTCTTGCAGCTTTTCTGCTGTTAAAGGAACTCTTGCAGCTTTTCTGCTGTTAAAGGAACTCTTGCAGCTTTTCTGCTGTTAAAGGAACTCTTGCAGCTTTTCTGCTGTTAAAGGAACTCAGGGTGAGATAGATGTGTTGACCCCTGCCAAACTGTCTTTAAAGCGAGCATAAGCACATTCAAGGGTATCAGCAAGCTTCCTCCTCATTTAAAACCACTACTCAACACATGTACTTTTTGGTGTCTAAGGTCTTGACATGAGCTTGTTTCATTTACTGCAGCAAGCAATAACCCTTAAGTACCTTTCTTTTAAGCAACTTCTTACACACTGTTATCAAGTTTTCAAATCCATACATTAAATACATTTATTTCAAGTATTATCCTCCAAGTTCTTCCTATTTTAACTTTTTAAGATCTCTAGCTTTTCAAATAGGTGACTGTATTTAGGAAGGAAAGTACTCTTTTAAATCCATTCTTTAAGACGCAAACTGTTACAAATAAATCTATCTGCAGAAGACATCTATCTGTTAAAGACATTTTGCCATGCACATAAAGATACAAACATAAGATGAGCCAAGAACTATCACAAGTCTTGTATACAATTAATCTCACCGTTTACACACCGTTTTCATCTCAGAAAAAAACAACCCTTAAGCTTTTTCTAAACTTAACCAAAACGCAGGTGACACAAGCTTTTCTGCTACCTAGCAGTAAAATGCAGAAACCTCAAAGACAGAAAGCAACATTTAACAGCAGCAATTAACAAAATTCCATTGAATGATTTTCCTGCTTGTGATGGAGGATGTCCCTGCATATCACATTTCTCCTGCTGTTCCTCAAGACTGCCTACTTCCTACGTTTGCTTCTTTACAATAGGTTAGGCAAAAAAAACATCCTTCTGTTACACATTTTCAAGAACTATTAAACAGTAACGTTTGCATGGTAAATAAATCAGTAAGAATCACAAGAAACAAATTCAAGTATCAGTTTTCATTTCTAAGCAGAAAAGCCAGTCCAGCATCCACAGTGCCAGTGAAACCACAATATAAATTTAAATAATTAACGGTCAAAGATTTATCTCCTTAATTTTGAGTAAGGTTTCTTACCAAGCTGTCTGACACACATGCAGCCCTAATCCTGTTACAAAGTGCTGAAGCATACCAGCTTGAGCTTGAGCTGTCAGCCTGGCCTAGAACCAAGACATCGTACTAAACCTAAAAACACCGATTTCCAGGAGCCAACCTGGGCCCAAGACAAGCTGTGTTTTTATTCCTTGCTTCTGAGGTACACACGTGCCCAAAACAACGATGTCCTGCTGAAAAACAACCCCCCAAAGAATAAAAAAAAAAAAAAAAAAAAAAAAAATAAATCCCCCCTTTAGTAGCCACTAAAGCATTTGAAAGTCTCCTTCACGTGAATCACCACAGCTAGAAAGTCCTTAAAATACCCGAGGCTAATTTCCAAAAAACAACAACTACAAAAGGGGTTAATGGCAACGGGCAGACACTGAACCACAGGAAGTTCCACCTGAACCTGAGGAAAAACTTCTTCACTGGGAGGGTGACTGAGCATTGGAACAGGTTGCCCAGAGAGGTGGTGGAGTCTCCTTCCCTGGAGATATTCAAAACCCGTCTGGATGTGATCCTGGGCAATATGCTCTGGAGGACCCTGCTTGAGCAGGGAGGTTGGACTAGATGATCTCCAGAGGTCCCTTCCAACCTAAACGATTCTGTGATTCTGTGATTCTGTGATTCTGTGATTCTGTGATTCTGTG